AGGGATGAAAAAGAGGGGACACGGCGTCGTTGCGTAAGCGTCTGGACGCCGAGGCATCGTTGCGTCAGTCGTTCGAAAGCTACTAAGCATCGCGGGTCCACGAAAAGCCGGCAAGACGCGCGGAGAGTGGCTCGCTCGCCAGCAGTTTGTGAGTTTCAACGATCTCCTCGGGATCGGCCATCAATTTTAGCCCGGTTCCACTTTCTTGTTTTTCGCTGGGCTTCCCCTTCGAGGTCGCGCACCCGGGATTTTCGACTCTCTTGACCTTGCCGCCGGATCTTTCAAGGTCAATGCTACGTCGTCGCAGACACACATCCGGTCGAGTACGCAGACGCGTGGTCGGATCGAATTTTATGGTGGCGCCCGTCGACGCACGATTCACGCAGTGTCGCGTCCCCCTCTACGATCGATCGATCGATACCCCTTCGATCGCGCGTACAGTGATTACGTAAGGATTCCATTCACTTTCCGCAGGATCACTTTCTCTGATCGGTTTGTACTTTTCATGCAAGGATCGCTGGAAGAAGAGTGCTCTACGCAAGGGCTGCTTTTCTTCTCCGAATCGGAAGAATTTATTCTTTATGAATTATATTTCCAATTTTTCGATCTTGGAAAATCTATTAGCATCAAGAGGTGAAGACTGATCGGGGAAGAAAACGCAGTGGAGATTGACGCAACGATGCGCCAGATTCCAGTATTTTGGTTTCACTGCAGGGGATGCTGCGGTTGCTCTCCTTTAAGCTGGCGCGTCGCTTTCCACGCTTGAATTTTTCTTCGAGTCTTCTTTGAAACTTGCGAAACTTTTCTGACAGTTGTTGCGGTGCGCATTAAAGCGTTCGTTGTATTCCCCGACTCTTTATTTATTGTTTTTTCTTGCAAATCGTTCAGACTTTAACACAAACTGATACTGCATTATATTTTACGCTATCATTGCACGGAAGCCTTTCAATATAAAATACAAAGAATAAATATTACATTTAACTTTCTATTCTCTATTTTCGATAAATATCCGAGTAAAAAGTGATCCATCGGCGCTTGCAGTAACAGAGCTTTCACGAAGCTTTAAAAGGAAACTGGGGTTTCCTTGTTATCTGTTTAATCGGGATTATCGGTGTAAGACCATTTCCTTTCCTTATTTCATTCATCGTGGCTCGTGACGAGCATTCGTATCGCGTTCAATGAAGCTCGAACGAGGAAACCGGTGCTCGTGGAATTCAAAGAGGATTTCATGTCTCGCAATCGCCACGCTTTTTCTCGTTACTTGCAACGCGTTTTTCCCCACATCGTAGACAAATGTCATCCGATATTCCGCTCGATTCAGAGAACTTATTGCTTATTCAATTTGCGGTTTCGTCATATTCCTATTTACCTACGTACCCGATCGAACGTTTCCCCATTGTCCTCGCTGCGTATCTTATTTATATTATCATGATAAAGTGATTCAGATTCGTTTCAAATATTCCCTTCGACTTGTGGCGTATATTTCACGGATATAGAAAAAGATATCTACCCAGGAACTCCCTGGTTATTATCGTTTTATCGCCCGATTGCGAGTGCTCGAGAAATATGTAATAATAAAATAACTTTGGCGAGGCTGGAATTTTTTCATTCGCTTCCAAACTGGAGGAATTTCAAGAATCGATACTTCCTGGCAAATTAACTTGCCATGAAAAGTCATTTCGTAAGGCTGGATAATTGACATCGTCGAATAACCACTAAAATTTTTACTCTGCTCACTTTTATTTTATAAAGACTGACCACTGGTACCCTGGTATTAGAAGCACTTAAGTGCATACATTATTCTTCGAGTGCATCTAGCAGTATCCTTCAAGGAAACAGGAAAGTTGCGATTCCCGCGTTCGTCGAAAGCAATTTCCATAAGTAAATCGTCGATCAAAGAGTAGAATCGCGCGACACGAGGCGGGAAATCAACGCGATCGAATTCGACGAAGAAGCGGCGGGTGCTACGACCGAGAACGAGGAAACCCGGAGCATGTAAACGCCGGGTGCCCAGCTTATCTCATCGGTGTAAACGCGAGCGTATAAAAGGCAAGCTCTTTCGACAGGTAACTTCAGTAATTCGTACTCGTGCGGGGACGTTGGGTCTAGAATCGTTGCCGATCCAAATCGCGTGTGAACCACCAACGAAGACTGTTTGGTGCGGTGCCGTGCGGTTCTATCACCTTCGGGACATCTTCGAGACAACTCTCGTTCATCTCGTGGTGTATCAACTCTCGAATCACGCCGGTTCAAGAGGTTTGTGCACGAGCGTTCGTGAACACGCGTGCACTGTCAAGCCACGTAGTGAAGCCTAGTGAAGTTGCGAGGGACACTTATGAAGGGCTCCGTCAACGCACCGAGGCCCATCGTTGATCAGAACAGATACATTTGGGATAACGATTGGAAGCAGTAGTTTGACCAAGGTACGTCAATGGACTAACTTCGTGCTCGTAATCCTCTAATTCGAAACGGCCTTCTGCAATTATGGTTTACATTCCAAACCTGTAACAATCACATCAATTCGAAAAGAATGATCCAAATGGTATACACAAGTCTTTGATCGATCAATTCGACAACAAATTAAACATAAGCATCCTTGAAGAGGTTAATACTGTTTAAATTCATATTTGGTTCCATAGAATCTTGATATCCGACTCTCGTTATATTACCATGGTCGCTGCATGACGTGTGCGTAGATGTACCACGTGGGAATGAATTCACTCCTCTGCCAACCTTTCCACATTCGAGCAAAATAAACAGAAATAATTCGTTATTTGTGACGCCTAAGCATAACATGTCAAAGTTGAAATAATTCACATATGATCTGCTTAAGCTCTTCTCAAACCTTACATTGTTCTTGTTTGTTTAGGTTACGAAGTATCCTACTATCAGCCCGTCCTTGCTCTATGCACTTGCGTAACAAAGCGATAACTTACCGAATTTCAGTAATAAAGCGACAATTTTTATTCTCGCTTTTTATTTTATACAACGTGAGCAGAAAATCGATTCTGATTTGCATTAGCATGTTTATCTCAAAGATTTCGATGGCTGTTTTCCTCTTAAAACCACCTGGCTGTATTTATAGGCTTCAAGTGTCTTTATCGTTAATTTCTTTTTATTCAACCCAGACGGGTTTTTCGGTAAGTTTTTAATCGTCTGCGTATTTTGTTCAACCAGTGTGTCAAATATAGAGACGTAGATATAACTGGTTTGTTGATTTGACCTATAGTCTGTTCAGGTTAAATCATAGTTGCATTCGATATACTTGACCTGAAGTTACCTTTGGTGTACAATGAATCAAGCTATTTTATCGAACAGTTAAGATAAGGTGCTGCAGTTTGCCGTTTTATATCGGTAATGTGGCTTAGAACTATGGGGACATGGAAACTTGGCAAACTTGGGAAGCGGGTTGTTAAGGAGTTGAGGCGTTTTGGAAATTTTGGAGATTAGGAGTTTGGGAATTTGATGGCTGGGGATTTGAGAAATTAGGAATTTGGGAATTGCAGGATTGGGGGATTGGGGATTCAAGGATTTGGAGATTTGGGAAATTAGGATTTGGGGATTGGGGAGTTGGGGACTCGTAGATTTGGAGATTTGGGAAATTAGGATTTGGGGATTGGGGAGTTGGGGACTCATAGATTGGGAAATTTGGAAAATTAGGAATTTGGGGAATTTCAGGATTGGGGATTGGGGGATTGGGGACTCAAGGATTTGGAGATTTGGGAAATTAGGATTTGGGTATTGGGGAGTTGGGAATTCAAGGATTTGGAGATTTGGGGATTGGGAAGTTAAGGACTCGTATATTTGGGGATTTGGGATTTGGAGACTTGTGGTTGACATTTGAGGATTTGGAAATTTGTGGATTGCAACATTTGAGGTCTTAAGAATTTGTGGATTTGGGAAATTAGAAATTTGGGAATTGCAGGATTGGGGATTCAAGGATTTGGAGATTTGGGGATTGGGGAGTTGGGGACTCGTAGATTTGGAGATTTGGGGATTGGGAAGTTAAGAACTCGTATATTTAAGGATTTGGGATCTGGAGACTTGTGGTTGACATTTGATTATTTGGAAATTTGTGGATTGCAACATTTGAGGTCTTAAGAATTTGTGGATTTGGGAAATCAGAAATTTTGTGCATTGTAGGAATTGGACGATATGAGGTCTGGAGGATTTTCAGATTGAACAATTACAGATTCATGGAATTAGACTCGAGGTTTTGGGTATTTATGGATAACATCAAGCACTCAGCTTTGTGTACTACAGCACTCTTTCTTGGAGATTTGGAAATTAGACGGATCCCGATCTAATTAGGCGCATGACCGCGTTAATTTTACACAGGCCCAATAATTGTGCTCGGTGAACAAGAGTCGTTTGTTCAGCAGCGTGTCGAGGTAAAAAATTCAAACGCACGAAACGAGCCTCGGACCACGGCCAGCTTCGTGGACCAGTAACAGCCGCGCTCCCGAAATAATCTTTGTTCGTGTGTATAATGTTTATTAAGCGAGCTGGCTTCGAATTGGCACAAGGTTCTGCTAGGATAGCCGTGTTCGTTGACCTACATCCGCGAAAATCGGACGATTTACCAATTTTCGCGGTCTATTCGCTCTCGCGTGCGCTCTCTAGTCGCTCGGTATTACACGCGTGTTCCGGTTCTCCGCGTCGAATAACGCGGAATGAAGTCAAACCGACTGTTGTTACTGTACCTGTGTGCCGGTTATTAAAGCCCGAAATAAACTTCGTTGATCTCTATTGGCTCTATGAACGCGAACTGGTGGAACGCCAAATTTTAACCGAGTCTCTTTAGCCGGATGCGAAACATTCCGCGTCGATATTGACGTCGTTACGCATTAACCTAGCGGGATTAAAGCGGTTCGTGGCAAGAAAAATATTCTGCTTCTATGTGCCTGCTTATTTGAATTTTCAGAGCTAGTTTAGATGCCTAAAGGTATTCGCCGACCTTTGCGTTCCTTAATCTCTAAAATTTTTTAATAAAAATTAATGTACGTACGAGGGAGTTTGTTAAGCTCTTTGCATATGAATTTTATTGCGGTTCTGAAAGTTTCTTCAAAGTTGTCCTACATTTTGTATTAAATTTAATAGCGAGTCACCTTTTAAGAACAAATGGTTAACATTTGTAAGTATTTTTATTTGAAGAAAAATTGAGCAAAATGTAAACCTTATCTTACCTGGAATAATGATAGAATGGTTCATGAGAAGGTTGGTCGCAAATTGGCGCCGTTTTGTTGGCTTTGTTTCGTTATCTTCGTATTATTATGTCCACTAATGATTTCGACGCCTCTGATAAATAACTGTTTATCGCACCCCGTGAAGCAACTCTGAGTAATCAACACGAAGTAAATGAATTTATTGCGTATCCTTCCTCTTGATAAACAAATTGCGAGGCGAAGAATAAATAACATAATTTCGTGTTTGACAATGTTTCTTATCTTTGGAATGGTCGCAAAAGTCCGATGACGTTTGCGCGCATACGTCGTGTTTGTCAATAAAGATGATAAATTAACGAGCTTAATTTAATTACGATAACGAGTGAAGTGGTTTTTATTTCATAAATTACCACTACTTTAAAATATATCATGGTTTTCATATTAAGGTTTCTTTTAGATCTAGGTTAGGTTAAGTTAGGTTGTGTTTGGTTAGGTTGATGGTTTTTCAATGAGCCACTGCATTGTTTAGAAGTTTAATAAAATAATATAGAACTACATCTCCAGAAAATTATATCAATTTGCATTACAGTATTATTGTCAGAATTATTTTTATTTATTCTTATTTAAAATGAATTTTTATACGGTGTTGTAATTGTCTCGTTTAAATGATAATCAGCCTGACAATAGCCGGCACCAAACAATAATAAGTCGAGTTGATTAGATAAATATCGTTGCCCTTTTGGTATCGATATACGATTTGTGAGTAAACGAAAACGATTCGAAGTTATCGCGTCTCTCACAAATAACTCTGGATACAATCGACGAGCTTCTGGTTCTATTGAACAGCGAACACTTGTGCGTTTACTTTTTGGCTCTTATCAGTCGAGGCTGATTTCATAGTCATGGGTGACGCATAAAGACCCCACCTGACTCTCTTTCATTACACCACGGAAGTCTTCTTATAAAACGGCAATTAAAATGTCGCAGGAATTAAGTCAGAAAATGAAGAAAACCATTGCAGGATTTAATCTTGTGTCAATATAATGTCGACGTTTCTTAGAAATCATCCTTCGTTACGCAAAGATTATGCATTTTTTTCAACTGATTCAACTGATGCTATCAAAGAAAGAGTTAAGCAAAGAAAACCTATTTTCCTATAAACAGCAGTAAGAAAAATTTTGAAAAATGTAAGGATTATATTTCAGTCTATTCCCCAAACCCTTCACGCGAAGTCATCGTTATTTTTACTGCCAAGTAAAGTGGTGTCCATCGAGAACCGTCAGATAAAATGTCAATCTACCTTGAGGATGATCGAACGGGGCTGGTCTCGAATCGATTAGATTCAGGAAAACCCGTTCGCTAGATCGGAGTGTCGAATTTTATTTCACGCCAGTTCGCTTCTCGTTCCTTCTCGTTGGTCAAAGCTTTCTCGATAGAAAGGGGGACACGATACGAGAAAAAAACGAACTCACTGTCGTCTAGAGACGGAGATATCGAGGATATCCAAGAGCCACCGAGAGGAAACAGCTCCTTCGTGACAGAATTAATTTTTACAAGGGGATTAGGTAGCTCCTGGTCAGACACCGAGAAGAAGGCGATGTCCCGTGATCGAATCTTTTCCATTTGTCACCAATCGGATTACTTGATCTTCGCAAGTTTTTCTCTTTGCCAACTTGTTTCTTGCAGGACTAGTGGTTGCTGTGTCTCGGAGTACAGCAAGAAAAAGGAAGTTCAAAGTGTGATTTCAGGGCTTATAGTATTAGTCGGCTGGAGTATTGGTGATTAGGATTTGGGACGTGGATTAGGGACGTGGGGTACTCGGGACATTAGATATACGGGACGTGGGGTATTCGGGACGTGGGGTACTCGGGACATTAGATATTTGGGGCGTGGGGTACTCGGGACGTGGGGTACTCGGGACGTGGGGTACTCGGGACGTGGGGTACTCGGGACGTGGGGTACTCGGGACGTGGGGTACTCGGGACGTGGGGTACTCGGGACGTGGGGTACTCGGGACGTGGGGTACTCGGGACGTGGGGTACTCGGGACGTGGGGTACTCGGGACGTGGGGTACTCGGGACGTGGGGTACTCGGGACGTGGGGTACTCGGGACGTGGGGTACTCGGGACGTGGGGTACTCGGGACGTGGGGTACTCGGGACGTGGGGTACTCGGGACGTGGGGTACTCGGGACGTGGGGTACTCGGGACGTGGGGTACTCGGGACGTGGGGTACTCGGGACGTGGGGTACTCGGGACG